TTTTTTTTTTTTTTTTTTTTTTTTTTGTCTGCGTTAGGCCCGAACGACCGAACGCATCCCCAAGGGGTCCCATATGTTCGGGCATTCGGGTTCGGGCGTTCGGCCCGTCCCGAATGCCGGTTATCCTTGTTAAAAAGATATTTTTATTTTAATTTGTATTTATTTCCTCAAATTTGGTTGTGAATTTGCACATGCACCTTTAATAAAAATTGTTTGTATTGTAATGATTTATAACTTTTTTTGTTCATAATTTTTCTAAGGTGCCAGAGTTGTCCAAGACCACTTGCCCGACTAGGAAAAATATATATATATTGGTATAAAATATCGATATGACCCTGAGGCCAGGGTTGCCAGGCCGAACGTGCGGAGGTGCCTAAGCTGACCTCCGAACGTTCGGGCGTTCGGGTTCCCGTACGGGGCTTGAACGTGACGAGGTTCGAACCCCGCCAAAAATTATTTTGACACCTAAATATTTTTATTTTTTTCTGAATTGTTTTTTGTGAGTTCTTTGTGATGTAAGGTATCTCCCTCGAATTTTGAAGCCATTCTGATTAGCCAATAAACATTGAAAAATCGGTAAAGATGGTGTTGTCAAAACTTGCTTGCGCACTCACTAATTTGTTTCTTATTTTTTTTCACTTTTTGTTTTTCCTTTATTTCGGGGCATGAAAAACTTTATTTTTAGATTCTCTATTATGTAAGATAAAAACATATAAAGTTTCATGGCATTTGTTATAAAAAAAATAAATGAAAAATTGCCACAGATGGCAGTGTCAAAAACGTGCTCGCCCACTCGATAATTTTATTCTCGTTTTATTTTTTCTAATTTTTATTATTCTTATTTTGTTTTAGTACTTGATTTTTATTTCAAATTTGGTAAGGAATTTGGATGTAACGTTGAGGCAAATGTTGTTTAGTTTATTCTTTTGCACAATATATAGTTTTTTTTTTTTTTTTTTTTTTTTTTTTTTTTTTGGCGTTTGGTCGAACGAGTCGAGATGGGGAGCTGAACGTTCAGGCGAAGTTCGGGCGTTCGGCCCGTCCTGAACGTCAGCAGCCCTGCCTGACGCAAAAATTATTCAGTTTATTTTTTGCGCTGGTAGCTTAGTAATTCTTTGAGTTTTTTTTTTTATTAAAATTTGCAAAAACTTCAATACAACATACGTATGTTATATTTGAAAGTACGTTCCATTCGAAAACAAATCACCAATTTCGAAAAACCGGTTTTTTCCTAGGTTACCTGATCGGACGTCAGGGACCCCCCTGGCCGTCCGGGATGTCTGACCGGACGTTTGGTCGGATGTTGGACTGGACAGGGTATGTCCGACCTACCGCAGAAAATAATAATAATAATAAAAATAAATTCGAAAAAATAAATAAAAAAATTGTGTGGCTTTCACCTTGCATAAGGTGTATGCCACCAAAATTTTGGCTCATTTAGGCAAGTAGAATAAACAATAAAAATTTTCAAAGATTATAATCCTTACCAATACCCCTCCTATCCCCACCAAAACCCCTCGTACCCCCCCCCCC